TCTGTGTGTCTCTGTCTCTGTGTGTCTGTCTCTCTGTCTCTGTCTCTGTGTGTCTCTGTCTCTCTCTGTCTCTGTCTCTCTCTGTCTCTCTGTCTCTGTCTCTCTCTGTCTCTGTGTGTCTGTCTCTCTCTGTCTCTGTGTGTCTGTCTCTGTGTGTCTGTCTCTCTCTGTCTCTGTGTGTCTGTCTCTCTGTCTCTGTCTCTCTCTGTCTCTGTCGTTCTGAAGGATCATGGAGAACTACGACAAGCTGAAGTCTCGGATCAGTGAGATCGTGGACAGCAAGCGTCACCTGGAGGTGGAGCTGAAGAAACAGGCGGCGGACTACAGAGAGATCGACAAGAAGATGAACAGCATCAAACCGGACCTGATCCAGCTCCGCAAGACCAGGGACCAGTACCTCATGTGAGATCCGCTCTTGCTCAAGAGACACCGGGAAGACGTGTCGTATTTATACTAACCGCTGTGTACTCTTGTACTCTTGTACTCAGGTGGCTGACTCAGAAGGGAGTCCGTCAGAGGAAACTGAACGAGTGGCTCGGCCTGAAGAACGAGACCACAGAGGAGTGAGTTCAAGTCTCGTAAACCTGTAAACTCAGAGCAGTCACATGTTAATGTGTTAGCATGTTGTTAGCATCCCTAGCTTGTGTTTGTCCCCTGCTAACCTGCCTTCCTCCCCCCCCCAGTGAGTACAGCATGGTGGAGGATGAGGAGGACCTTCCTCACCACGACGAGCGTCTGTGGCGTTTAGGAAACATCAACCGTCTTCAGGCCGAGTCTCTGCTCCGTGGGAAGAGAGACGGGACCTTCCTGGTCCGAGACAGCAGCAAGCCGGGCTGCTACGCCTGCTCCATGGTGTAAGTCTCACCTCTTTACACACCTGTTTACCTGTTTACACACCTGTTTATTTACCTAGTTGTATTTATTTCACTATTTTTGTAACTACTTATTAACCTTTTTATCTCCATAATTATTTACCTGTTTATGTATTTATCTAACTATTTACCAAAGATCTCCGTGTTGATATAACTGATGAATTATTTGCCTCTTTTACCCCCCCCCCCCCCCCCAGTGTGGAGGGAGAGGTGAAGCACTGCGTCATCAACAAGACGATCACCGGCTTCGGCTTCGCTGAGCCCTACAACCTGTACGGCTCTCTGAAGGAGCTGGTGCTGCACTACCAGCACACCTCGCTGGTCCAACACAACGACTCGCTCAACGTCACGCTGGCCTTCCCCGTCTACAGCCAGCCCCGGCGGTGACCCCGCCCGCCTCGCCCCGACGCTCACAAGTACCATCCGGTTATTAACATCAATGCTTCGTCACGGGGAATGTTAGGATCGAGTGTTTTATTGTGAAAGTCTTCACGTGGAGCGTTAACTTCCTGCGCAAACATAAAAAGACAGTTAAGTTTTATTCTCGTCAAAGACGGAGAGGAAAAAAACACACTTGAGGTCAGAATGACAAGAGGCGTTCAGGGACCCTACAAATGAATTGGACCCTCTGAAAGCAGTTTGACTCATTAACTGTTTTATCTTAATGACTCTGTGACAAACGAACGAGTCGCTTCATGTCGACGGCATCCTCTCCTCTTCCTCCTCTTCCTCCTCCTCCATGTTTGTTGGTGTTGATAAACCAGCTCAGAGTCTGAGATGTTCAGATTAGTTTGATGATCTCTTTACCGTCTCATATCGTTTTTAAAGTAATAAAACTGAAACGTTATATTTGAATGAAGTGTTTTAGATCCTGAACATCTGAGGTGCGTTCAGGTTCACCTCGCTTACTTACGACGTGGTGACCACCACGGAGAAACGAGGTTCTGTGGGACCGGACTCCTCCTCTAGTCCAACAGAGCAGAACCACGATGATGACAACAAAATGGCGGACAATCTTGCATAATCACTGTGAACGAGGTTTGAAATGATTTTATACATCAGGAGAAAACAAGAAACGAGAAACCTGCATCATCCAAACACTCGTCAGTGTTGTTCCAGGTCCACTTTCTTCAGGTTTGTTGTGGTTTTGTTTCATTTTGCCGAGCGGACGGATTTAATTATTTCCTTTTTTTTTTAATAAACGTCCGTCAGCACAAAGACCCACTCCTCCTGGATCCTCTTCAGAGGGTTTTCCTGATCCAGTTTCAAGGACTCGTGGACAAAACAAAGTAAAAGTCTGAAGCCCGACTCATCTTCATGGATTAAATGTTTTCATCTGAACCAGGAGACAGAACTCTGAACGGGTCCAAAAGGATTTCAATCAAAACGTTTCACATTCGTTTGTTAATGTCCTGAATTCTTTCAAGCTCTTGTTTTAATTATTAATCCTCAGAAGTCCTGTTTATTGTTGTTTCCATTCATGACTTTGAAACCAAACTAGTGAACTGAGACGATGAGTGATGACATGTTTAACAATAAAACGGTCTGAAGACTTCACAACTTCTGGTGTCTCTCTCTCAACAAATGACAAGAGACTTGGGATGTACTTGGGTTGTGTTTTCATAATCTGATGTTTCCCTCAACTTTTATTATGGAAACAATTAAAGTCGGGTGATGGCAGGTAAAAAGTCAGTCACCAAAATTCATCCTCTTAGAAATATGAACGTTTAGATAAAATGGCCGCTCAGTTGAGATATTTGTTTCTTTACCAAAGAGACGCTGGAAGTTAGTGCTTCATTAATGTATCCAGTCAAAGGTGAGTTCAACGTTCCCGTCATATAAAACCTCACGTGAGTTAGTAAATATAGTTTATATATAGAAATCTAACATCTGTCACACGTGGATTTAACGCGTTCCTATGAAAAAAAATACATTACTACTATAATAATATAAATACATTACTACTATAATATAAATAAATACATTACTATAATATAAATACATTACTATAATATAAATAAATACATTACTATAATATAAATGAATACATTACTACTATAATATAAATAAATACATTACTATAATAATATAAATACATTACTATAATATAAATAAATACATTACTACTATAATAATATAAATACATTACTACTATAATAATATAAATACATTACTACTATAATATAAATACATTACTACTATAATAATATAAATACATTACTACTATAATATAAATACATTACTACTATAATATAAATACGTTACTACTATAATATAAATACATTTCTACTATAATAAATAAATCCACTGACAAAAGAATTTCCCCAAATGGTCGCAGTGTTTCTTTATTAAACATTATTTCAGACCACCAAAACAAAAAATAGAAAGTGCAGTTTTAACAGTTTTAAAATACAGTAATATTAATATTTAATCATGCTTTTTTTTCTTTTCTTCAAGCTAACTTTAATCTTTAACTCGGTTCCAGTACTTTCTTATTATTAATTAAGTGAGTGTTTGTTATATATTATATAATTACGTCAAACAGTTTTTGTAGACTGTAGACCTGTTTAAACTAGAACACATGTAATAGAGGGTTATATTCTTCATCGGAAGGTGATTATGTGAGCTCAGGTGAACGTGATCAGGTATTCGGGGTACGCCTGGATGTCGTTGAAGATTACAAACATGGTTGGATTGCTGCTGTCGTCTGAAACACTGTCGTACAGGTCTGCAGCGCTCCCGGTGTTCTTGGAGGGCGGCGTGATCAAACCAGCTTTTCCTTTGGTGAAGTCTCCCACCAGGACCCTGGACAGGTACATGCGCTTCTGGCCTTTGGCGTCGGCTTGTGCGTAGCCCTGTGAGTAGACCGGGTCCACCGCGAAGTACGAGCCGTTACCAAACATCGCTCCTGTGGAACAAAACAGAGGAACAAGTGTATTAATACAACGCTCCACCTTCTGTCTTCTGTTCACTACACTGTTTAAATCTCACAGCTGAACAAGACAGAAGACTGAGGATGATTTAAAGTATATGAATACAAATACAAATATATATATCTGCAAAGAGAGTATTAACAGTAGGTGTAGGAGCCATTAGTTATGTCTGTGTATTATATGTTTGAATTAGGAGCCTATCTCAGGTTGACCATGGGTGGCAGTGTGGAGTATTGCGGCAGGTAGTTAATATATGGGGCACAGGTGTAACTGACAGGTAATGAGGCATGGGTGACGGGGAGATCGCACGGTTTTTACCGCAAAACCAGACACCTATTGTTCACCGCTCGCTGCCGGCCGTGCAATAAAATAATTGTCGGCATTAATTAATTAATGCGTTAACGCGATAATAACGCATTAACTTACCCAGCACTAATATATATATATAAGTTACTAGTATTTGACAAATATTACAGGAACGGCAGAGCAGTTTGTTGTGTTGAAACTAAATATTATATTGTTTTGTAAGTTTACTTTCCTCACGATGCAGCTCTGGTATTTAGCATGTAACCTTTAACGTATTTAATTGTATTTGAAGTATTCTCTGTGTACCGTGTGCTCCTGCGTAGCTGCGGTTGAAGCCCTGTTTGTTGATGAGGTCGATGGAGGAGGCCGCGGTGCCGTGGAACAGCATCCTCTCGTTGTTTGTGTGTTTGTTCTTCACCTCCAGCTGTGTCTTCTTCAGCTGGTAGTTCTGCCACAGGGTCGGGTTCTGGACTCGTTCAACCTGCCGACACAAGTCACGACAAGTTCTTAATTCTCACTGTGCTGCTCGTGTTAAGATACGATTATCCTTTATTCATCACACAGCAGCATTATTATATATATATCATATCTTGTGATACCGTTACACTCCCTTTCTATGTTTCTATATTTAAATACAGTTTTACAATATACTTGTTTTAAATTACTGTTTGTCTACCTATTTTTAAATTATATATCTTGATTATTGCACTGTGTTCATTGTTATGTCACATTCCTTGTATGTGTAGCGTACTTGGCAATAAACGGTTCTGATTCTGATTGTTAAAATACTTGGTCATCAATATTACGTAGTCATATCTTATGTATATTCATTTTGTGCTCTCTTTAATACTGTGAAGTTATAATATTATACAGGTGGAGCCTTCAGATAAACCCAGTTGGTTTTCTGCCTCCTCCTGCACTGTGATATAATTTATCTCTGTTATGTTTATATATTTTTTAAATTGTGCAAACTTAACAAAATTAAAACCAAAAAAAGGGGGATAGTGCATCAAGAGGCATCTAAGGTAAAAAAAAAAAAAACAGTAAAGATACAGTTAATAAATCGTAAAAACTAAAATACAATATTCTTAAAGTGAATGGTTGAGTTCACATATGAAATATTAATATGAATGAAAGAATAATTTGGTTTGTGCGTATAGTTATATATCCAATACTGATTTCATTGTTTCTGAGAGTCTATACATTTAAACTATGTGAATATTTAAAAACTACTATAATTCTGGAGTGAGTCAAAATCACTTCAAGTCCCATTGAAACGGGAGTAAGAGTGTCTTTAGCTTCTCCAACTGATTGATGACGGGGCACTATAAGCCCCACCCACTTTTTAGCGGTCCAATCAAATGGATTTTATTTAAATTTCTGTACAAGGCTCAAATATTCAGTTTCACCGGCATAATACATCACAGAGGATGAAGACGCTTGTACTTAAATGACGCTGAGCAAAGATACAGTCTTAATATATATTTCTGATGATCAGATATTGAACATACGCTGATGATGCTGACAGTCAGACCGGTCTTTGTTAGTTCTGTCTTCACTTCTTTGGATTCTTTGGATTTTGGAGGCAGAGGAAACAACTGGAGGAGGTCTCCTTTCATGTCGTCCCAATGTGACGGCAGGGCATCTGCAAAGAGAATAATAACAGTAGGTACGTACAATAGCAGGTACGTACAATAGCAGGTACGTACAATAGCAGGTACGTACAATAGCAGGTA